CCCCCGACGCCGGTACGCTCCAGCCTCGAGAGAGCCCCACCAGCGGGGCTCAGCCTCCGACTCGCCCGGCAACAGTCGCCCGGCCTGTTGTCCTGTGATCCGTCGGACCTCTTTGTGCTGCCCGTCGTCAAGTGCCTGCCAACCACTGATGCCAAGTTCGAGGCCCGAGGCGGCAGAAGCGCCAGTGGCGGCGTGATGATTGCGCTGGCCAGCGAAGAGCAGCGCTCCGACAGCGGCAGAGGCGCCAGCGACGAAGAGGCGATGGCAGGAGGCCAACAACTGCAACAACCGCAATCGCAATACCATCCGCATTACACATATCAGCACAACCCACCGGCTCAGCACCACCACCATCAGCATCATCATCATACACAACAACAACAACAACAACAACAACAACAACAACAACAGCAGCAGTATCATCTTCAATACCATCCGTACCACCACAGCCCTCAACAACTACAACAGCAGCTGCAACAGCAGATTTCCGTGTGCCTAAGCGACCAATCACAACCAGGAAATCCGGTCTCGAACAAGACAAACGCCGGGAATCACGTGCGTTTCGCGAGTCCTCCACGAAGCGGCAGTCCGAGTATAGAACATGTGGACTGGCCGAAGGAGCCTGGTAAGTGTAGAAATTGCCTGAAACATCGGTCACTCCGTGACCTATTTTCCCAACCCTAAACCGCAACTTCCTCTTTTTCCTCAACCCCATCCACCCAATACAGCCGGTGCCGTTCTCACCTCCTTCCTGCCCAGTCGTCCTGGCAACCATGCCCAGAGTTCGCCCAGTCCCTCGAGCCTCTCAAGGCGGCCCGACTCGCCCGACGACGCCGAACAATCGCTCTGTGGCCAAGCGCAAACTGTCGTCTCTGGGGTCCAGGCCTGCGCCAGCCCCGTCTCGAAGGGTCTCGACAACAGACGACCGTTGAGGCCATCCGCCGCCACTCGACTCTCGCATCAGATTGACCAACTCTTCGTCGAGAACATGATCTAGTCCCGATTTACACCTGCCCTCTTCTCTCTCCATTTTCTATACATATTTATACGTGAAAGCATACATTCCAAATTGTAGAGGTTTAGTTGTTCTTTTTTCCTTTTTGGAACGCTACTTTTTCTGTCTTGACACAAACAAAGTGCAATAATAAAACAAATACTGCTTTAGCAATCTGAGCATAATAGCTGGCCGACTCGTTTGGTCTCTCCTTCGAGAGACTGTCTTACAAAGTCAGAACTCGGCCATAAAACAGGACAGACGGGAAATTGGCATGTGAGCACGCTTTCCAGACTGGAACTTGCCTGCTCACTTCTTCCGCCGGGAGGACCAACTTCGAGCGGCCCCACCCCAACACGGGGATCCTTCAAGTTCCCGACAATGGAAACTGTTCCTGGCAAATACCGACAGTTGGTGTTTTTGTTGCCTCTAAGACTTTCCAAGTCTTCCTGCTTCCCTACTCCACTTCGAGAACACTCCTTTGTAAATAAAAGCTAATTATACGTTTGTTTTGCTTGTAGATAACAGCTTTTCACCGGTTTCGGATAGCTTAGTCCCTTTTTTGCCACGTCTCCCAACAACTAACAACTAACAACACCTGGGCAACATTGCAAGTTATGGCATGTCTTTCGTTTTGGAAGGACAGTTGGTTGCACGGAATTCGTGAATTCGTCTCAACGGAAACTGAAGAACAGTGGAGACTGTATGAGTTGTGATAAAGGACTGGTAGTTGATTTTTCCCACAATGTCATGAGTGGAACTGATGTTTTCCATTGAATTTCACATAGTCCACACCACCACGAGTGCCATTGGGTCACAAGGCAGATGTGAATTTCAAGGAAGGCCAGGCATTTTCCATATCACATTCTGTCTTGGGACACTCGCGGCAGTGTGGCGTAGTGTTTAACGTGTAGAGCTTACACGCTGAACTGTCACGGTTCGAATCCCGCTGGGGATGTTGATAAGACCGATGCGAGGTCGAAAATGCTGTCCCCTGGTGCCTGGATGAGAACGAATTTCGGGAAAGCAAGGCGATGTGGAATTCAATGGAAAGCATTCGCTCTACTCAAATGATTGTGGGAAATAGGGTGAATACCTCTCATATTACTGATTTACTGGTAGTCGCGAAACTCCACTCAAATACGAAAATATGATGATGACAACAAGAAACTAGTCGAATTGTCTATCTGCCCGTCCTGTCGTAAATTGCGATTCCTCTACATTTTATTCAGGAGCAATGAAACATAATTATATATTGAAGATGTGACGACCAAAATGGTGTGGCCTTTTGCGTAGTCGCAGTCTACTTTCGTTTTTTACATGTTGTTTGATCTTGTTTTCGCAACTTGGTCATGTTGGTAGGACGACTTAGAGGAAAGTGACTCTTCCGGAATCCATTGTATGCATGATTATTTCCAAGTGTGGACCGTGGATGTGGTACACGCTTGACGCCAGTGTGTCTTGTCAGTCTTAACACCACACTAAAACTCTGTCCAATGTGTGCTAAACAGTTGTGGTATCCATCCTTCTGCCCTGGGCTATTCACATTTCCTATATCCTCCTATCACGCCGTCACCATGACAATGTTTTTTTTCCTCGCTTATTTAAATGTGATATGGTGTGCCCTTTTGAGCGGATTTCATGAGAACCTACACACTCCACGCTAACGTTCTCGCCCTCTTTCACACTTTTGCTGGGAATGTTGATCAAAGTCTGCCATATTGTCGCGCAGTCTTGCTCTCCTAGGTCTTATCAGAGTCTCCCTATTGCTATCTCCCTGGTTCACCTATTTCCCTCGACCCCTGCCACCCCATCTGTGCTCCACGAGACGTCATTTCCCACACTTTGTGTGTGATAGACTAACTTGAAGCTAAAGCGCCCGAGTAATTGTCGTGGTCAAGCCCTCGCTGCAGGTACCACGTCGATGGTAAAACAGGCCTACTGTCAGCCGACTAGCTCCAGTCTCCGGCGCGTCTGTCCTGTTTCTAGCCTTAACACCATGTCTATGACCTAGTCTCTTGTGTGCCGAAGCGCAAATATCGGATTCGGGACTAGGTGCGTTCTACTAAGTCGCCCTGACAACAAGACAAAGTGGTGAAACGAGGTCACCACAGTCTAGACATTTTGAGGCTTAGCTGCGGCCAATTGGCATGCGGGTAGGAGAGAGGTGGGAACAGA